GTTCGCGGGGATCAGGCTAGTAGCAGAATCCCAAGGGCCATCTAAACGGGACAATTGAATCTTTAGCAAACCCTTTAATCTTTTCCATATCATCCTCGATCAGTCTCTGCGTCACACTTGAATCATTCACGATTCGTCGCTAATTTTTTAATTTTTTTTTCCACAATTAAGTTAAAATAAAAAAGTTACCTTAATACTGTCCTTAAACTGGGAAGATACGTCTTTCTCGAAACTCTCGGAAAGTCTGAAATAAATTACGAGGCTCAAACCCTCTCCATCACCATCGCCAAGAAACATGGGCGCTGGATATGTGGGCAGCTGTCATAAGACAAATATATTTATATTACAATTAAATAAATAAATAATCACGATATATGAACGTCGTTGAAATTTACCTGAATATTAACAATTAGCAGCGATGGCAATTCGCCGTTTGCTTTTATAGAAGGTAGGTCGAGATGCTGTGCAATGTGGCTAATCTTTCTTTGGGATGCAAATACATCTACGCCGAACGGAACGTACGGAGATACATTTGGTGCAGGGGATTTCTTTTTATCTCTGCAGTAATTAACCGTTAAATACGAGATTTTTTTATACAAAAAAAAAAATTGTAAAAAAAAAATAAAGAAGAAAGCATACTTAAAGAAGTTGTCTCCACGTAGCTTAAAAGTCGAGGGCTCGATTTCAGACCAAGTCCCGGGAGTTATCTTCTCGTCGGTACAACACGGAATCATTAATCCAGCTCGTGGTCGATAAAGATACTTTTTCGATGTACCTGAACCGATTTTTTTTTTTTATTAATATTTAAAATCTGATGCAGTGTAGCTATTTATAGAGACGCTATTTATAGAGAAGATACTCACTAATTTCATTTGTTTCTTCACCATCGATGGATTTCCTCTTGAACGAGAGACGAATAACAGCCGACTTCTTTCTTTGAGGTTGCGGGCCACCATTGTTGATCTTGTCATTAAAACTAACGGAAGGAACCAGTCGGGGTAAAACGGTCTTTAATAAATTGCGCGGGACTTTTTCTTCGTGATCGTTTTTGTCGTCTTTCACTCCATTAAAACTCACGTGGGCCCGGTCGAGGTTTTTCTTCCTCTTGTTACAAGACTCGTCGCTCTTATTACCTCCATGAACACTACTAAAATCGTCATCGGAATCAGAATCGAGTATGCTGAGTGTGTCGAACCATGCTTCTTCTTGGCAAATTCCTGCAATTACGAAAATACCCTCAGCCTTTTCGAATCGAAACGTGTACATTAACAGAGGATTATATATAATATAATAGAATAGAATATACCGTTAGCATCGACTTGGTTATGGTGCCACTGCAACTGCGTGACATGAAACGTTGAATTCGAAACCTCGGTTTTTCTGCAAGTGGTACTAGACTGAACGAACTCGCTAACTGTAAAATCCGAAACTCGAGCTCCGCCGTCACTAATCCTTATTATGTTCCCATCCGAGACTGTCGCCAGGTGGCGCTTCTTGGAGAAGCCGCCGCGTCGCTTCCCACTTATTTTAATCCTTTTTAACGGCTTCCTCGATACAGCTTCCGACGACACACAAGCACCCATTGTGAGAATTTTACTCAAGTCTCTAAATCTCTGCAAACACCATTGTGAAAATATTTTTACTTCTAGTTTCTAAAACTCGATACTGCAGAATCGGATATACCATGAAAATCGATCATATATGGCATCTCGATTTATTACAACAAGGCCCGTTTGAAACAATTGAAATTATCGATCAAATAAAACAATAAACATGATCTATAATCTATACACAACCTTTATCGGAAAATCGAAAAATCGTAAAATTAAAAAAGGAAACCAGCAGAATGATAAGTTTAATAAACAATTAAACCGAAAAACCCACGTCTCCATTTTCAGACAAGAAACAGAATAAATCAAATATCTTCCAAATAAAAAAAGGGGCTGTAAAATTACCAGCTGATATGACATATTCTCCTCAAGAACAACCAATTTAAAATAATCATTCAAAAAAAAATTATGCTCACAGGAAAGTGCTTGGAAATGCAACGGCATCGTATTAATTAATTAATTATATTAATTAACAAAATTTTAAAAATTTAAATACCACCCACCATCCCCAATCTCAATTAAGAACAAATACATTGCACAACATAGATACCCATCTATTCACACACACACACACACACACACGTGTTTGTGCGTGAATACATGAACAGAGAAAAAACGGACCTGGAGAAAAAGGGTTTTCGAGGGAGATGGAGAAGTGGGTCCGATCTGATTTTCATTACCAGACCCGTTTTCTTTCTTCCTTTTTTTTTCCAACACCGACAGATAAATTTCTTTTTATGTTTTTTTTTTTAATTTTATTTTTCGCCTGTTTTTTTTCTTGCCATCGATCTTTTTCAGTGCCTGCGTGTGATGATGCAATACACAAAGAATAGATAACAGAAGAAAGAGAGATAGACAGAGAGAGAGAGAGAGAGAGACAATGTTTAATTGGTCTGTTGTTCCGCCACTTTTCTCTCACTATGAATTTATTATGGCTGGTTGGTGCCGATAAACTTTTTTATTACACTAAAAGTACTTTTTTCTTTCAGCTACATAAAATTCATCAATCATAATAAATAGGAGTATTTTATTTCATCATCTTATATGTTTTGTTTTTCTTATTATTACCAGATATTACCTCAAGGGGGTAATTGTAGTTTACCCTAAAAATTATAACAAACAATTTTTCAAAGGGAAAATAAATAGATAAATAAATAACCAACTCTCTTGATTTTTCTGGACGAAAATAAATATTTATAGTTTGGTAAGTTATATTAATTAATGGAGCTGCAAAAAAAATATAATAATCAATTTACTGATTTAATTTAATTTTAATATACTTATTAGTATCTAAGTCAATTTCTTTTTGAGTCAACGCTCCTTTATTAAGTTAGAGTCTATTATTGGTTAAAGAAAGTTTATAAGATATTTAGGAGTTTATATGCTTTTTTAAATGTTTAGTGGACTTTAAAAAATAATCTAAAAAATTCAAAAAATAAGCTGTTTAAAAGAAAGATAAATCTTATAAGCTTATTATTCATACACTTTAAAAATTAATTTTAAAAATATTAAAAAAAAACTTATCAGATGTAAAAATTTATTAATCGTTTAAACTAAACTTAGCTAAACCAACCAAAAAAATTGATACAATCAACAACCTCAAAAGGCTCACATTTATGTCATATATATGATGATAATAAATCAACACTATGCCATGTGATCACAAGCAACTTGCTTCAATAATTACTCAACTAATGTGCAATTCCCGAAATTTATGCACACAATTAACTATATTTTATTTTTTAATTCTGAAAAAATTGATTTCTGAATTTTGTTAGTTCGTAGTTGGAATACTTATGTGATTCCGATTCTAATTTCAAAAATTAATTCATAATTATTTTCTCGAAAATCACATTACAATCAATATATATGATTTATACTGTTATACTAAAAATTCGGATATTTTAACTCGATTTCGGTCGGTCCAAAGTTTATTGGGCCAAGGTTAAATGAAAACGTACAAAAAGTTCAATAAATACAGCCTGGTCCATACTTTTTTCTTCCACGTGGCCCAATTGTTGGGCCCGTTGACTGACAAAGACTTTATGAAATTACAATAAATGCAGTGAGAAAAATAAAATTGCGTTAAAGCTTGGTTTTAAATTTCAATTGTTTATTCAGCGTGAAATACATTTAATTTATACTCCATTAATTTGTATATAGTCAAACTTGGAACATCAATAGCATTAATTGAAAGTTTCAAACTAAACTAGTATTTCACCCGTGCGATGCACGGTGATCACCTTCGAGAACAAATTTACTATTGAACAATTTAGGATCGTAAAAAAAAATATTTCAAAATAAATATAAAACTAATATAAGTAAATATGTTGTTAAACTAAACATTTGGTCCGAAGCAACATAATATTTGTTTATAACATAATGCATAAAATATTCCGTTCAACATGCCTTCTATATGAGAATGCTAGAACTAACTAAAGTAATGGAATCAAATGCACTGCACCACCTCGTTGGTCCACTTAAATCAAACAGTACATAGTAGATAACCTGCAAAATTTACGTACGTCGCATTAATTGAGTTCAATGCATTCTTTATGAAACAACAATGACAATAATGCGTAATCAAGCAATATTTCCAAATGCGAATGCAGCGAATATGCTAGAAATACAAAATCACATGCAAACATACCTAAACATAAAGAGGACATACACACATTAATAAGACTAAATATCGTTATAGTAATATAAATAGACGATAATTTACGACATATACCTTCATATGCGCTGAAATACTTCTTTGTAAACAACGTTGCTAGTTGAACTCGACAACCCACCGAATTCGGACTTGATAAGGATCTTTATGCCAGATCTACTCTTGACTCTCGAGAGTGCAACGTACAACTGACCGTGGCTGAATACAGGTCTGGGTAGATACAAACCAACATGGGAAAGTGTTTGACCCTGACTCTTGTTGATGGTCATTGCAAAGGAAATCATCAGTGGAAATTGTCGCCTCTGGAACTTAATTGGCAGAGTAGAGTTCGACGGGACCAACGTCATCCGAGGAATGAAAACAACATCACCGGTATTTTTGCCGGATAGAACCTTGCAGCTAAGAACATGAGTTCCCATTCTAACAACTTGAAGTCTGGTTCCATTGCAAAGGCCTCTCGCCTGGTCGATGTTTCGTATGAGCATAACAGGAACATTTTCCTTGAGTTTCAGCCTATGTGAAGGGAGACCGGAGCAAGACACAGTGTTGAGGAATTCGGTCGTATAAATTTGAGCATTCTCTTCCGAACTCATCTCATCCTTGCACATACTATCCGCACTGAGGTACAACTTCTCTTCGCCAGGAAGGAGGGAACATAAGTATTCGTTGACAAACTCAACGCAGTCATTAGTCGGCGCAAGCACCGCCCTCCCTTGGAAGTAATCGGGATTTGATATGTTACTCAACAAATCCGGATATACAAACTGCAACAACTCCAATAATGGATCTTCGGAATCGGGAATTAGCCTGTCCTCGGGAATCTCAACAGATGCTTCACCATCGTTTTGCTCTCCCGCCTCCCCATTACCGATACTCAGTATCCAATCAGCAAACTCCTTTACTTCTTTAACTTCCGATGGATTAGAACTTGATTGAAGCCTCATATTCGTATGCAACTTTAGAACCTTACATTCTTCCCAAAGCTGAGATGAGTTGATCGTAGCGTGAACAATGTCCTGCCTTGATGCCTTCAGTACAACAGGTAAAATCTGTCTAAAGTCTCCACCAAGAACGACAACCTTGCCACCGAATGGTTTGGGAATATGCGTGATAGATCGCAAGGTCTTGTCAAGCGCTTCGAAACAATATCTATGCATCATCGGTGCCTCGTCCCATATAATGAGCCTCGCATTTATAAGCAATTCTGCTTGTGGACTCTGTTGTGTAATGCTGCAGGTGGAACCATCGTGCACAATGATGGGGAGTCCAAATCTAGAATGAGCGGTCCGGCCACCGGGAAGCAGCAACGATGCTATGCCACTCGAAGCAACATTAAGAACTATTTCCCCCTTCGAACGGACAGCAGCGGACAACGTTCTCCATATAAATGTCTTTCCGGTACCTCCGTGACCGTAGAGGAAGTACATCCCGCCACAATTCTTCGACACAGCATCCATGATGGCATCGTAGACCCTTCTCTGCTCATCTGTGATAGAAGAAAGATATCGTTTCAGTTCTTCAGCCATCGCAAATACATCGTAGTCCAACTCATCGAGCACTAATCGGTTCTCCGTGTCATCCATCGACGAATCTAGTGGCATCGGCATAGAGTCAAAATTCCGCAAGCTCTTGCCGTTGCTCTGTAGGATCTTCTCGATTTCTATCAACGCGTAGTTCTTCAAACTATCATCCGATAGAGTCAAATCTGCAAAGGTATAGATAGTAAGACAAATGTGTTCCGGACAAATAAGAACTTGAACAAAAAATTGTAAAATACCACACTAATCGATACCTGGATTATTATGACGTTTCTGGTGCTTGTATGTAATATCATCAGACAAATTGGACCAACATTTCTCCCAAACATGTTCCGGTCTGCTCAAACTATTAGAAAGCAGCATAACAGCGAACAACAATCTGAGGAAGTGTCCGTTTGCCCAACCGTATGCTTCTCTAATTGCACCAATGTACTCCTTATCATCTTCCAACAACCCCAAAATATAGCACGCATCCCTAAACGTCGCGTAAACATTGCCACCCACCGTTCTGATGTCCTCGTAACTTTTGCACCCTCTTTGGACGTTGAGCAACAATCTAAGATAAAAGTCTTCTCCCTTTGTCGGGGGCACATTGGTGACTCTTCCAATGGCAAACCTCTTCTTTCTTGGCACCCACACCCGAGAATCATCCTTGTACACATAATGTTGGGGAAACTCTGCGTACCGTAACTCCCTAGCTGGTGGGTAGGTCTTGTTCGCCTCGAACCACGCCAAGAACATGGTTTGCCTCGCGGTTGGCCTTTCCAAGACACTCTTTAATGATTGGTTCTCATTGAATACCAACGGTTGATTGTCGGGGAGATGGAAACTCAATCTAATGACGGGTGGATCTCGGTAATGTATTTCAAATGCAAATATCCTCCACATTGCCTCGCACGCAGACAAATATCTGCAGTCATAATACATTTTGATTTCATCACGAACAGCAGGATCAGCGTCCGTAGACGGAGGTTGGAAAAATGTTGCCGTGACACGATCGTGTCCCTTGTTGACGTATTTGAACAGATACTTTATTGACTTGCTCTGGTTGCACAACTCAATATTGATGTGGGCTCGGTATTTTCTCAATAACACACGGTTGTAGGGAACCACAAATCCATTATCAAGAATAGTATTCTTCTTCCTAACCGTTCTTCCATCATCCCTTCTCCTATATACCGGGTAACCATCAGGGTCGGCCTCGGTTCGCTGTACAAACTTTTTTGGAAACCTCTTCGTGCAAACGCCATCCTTCATGCAAGGTGAATTCAAATTCGCATGGCCGCACGGGCCGTGTATCATGTATTTCTCAACCAAGTTGTACATCTTTCTGTCGGTTTTTTTGTCCGGAATTTCCGCACAGATCATCCTGTCGATGTCGGCGGAGCACTTAGGTTTGGCATCGTTATCCAACCACAACAATATATGTGCATGAGGCAGACCACGCTTCTGAAATTCTATAGTACACACATCTGCGTATAAAAATAATTACGTAAATTACGTAAATTAATATGCATACTTTAATACGATACTTGATGTAATGAATTTACTCGCAAAGTAATTTATTGAAAAGAGTTCATGACTTACGTGCTCTAATTCGTCCGAATATATGTCCCTTCTTGAAATCCGTCATCAAACTGTCCAACTTCATTTTGAATACGCGGCATAGAATATCAGGGCGATCCTCCGGTCTGAGACTTGTATCATTGAGGACCCTTTGTATTTCAGGCCATTGTGGATTGCATGTAATAGTTATGAACAATGA